AAAAAATTACATGCGCATGATTTCAAAAATTACGTGCGCACGATGCGCACAATGCAGTGCGCATTGGAACATCTCTACCATTAATGGACCGCACATTTGCCAACAACCCATTTTTCACCATAATTTTCAATAGATAGCCTTGTGTTCGTTTCCAACTCTTTATCAGAAGCATACCTTGATAAATCAAAGGCATCCTCATCATAGATAGTAACAGTATTACTAAGAATGTAAAAAATATTTATTAGCACGACTAGAATGACAATAACTACAAAACCATCTATTCTTTTTCTAAAACTAGAGTGACGACGAGTGGCGATAACCACCACCATCCTCATGATAAACACTTGCTCAGCAGTTTCCTGCCAATTGTCTTCTTTTTTTCTTTTTCTGTTTGATCAGACGTGAATTTTTCATATGTAGTAAAAATTTACAATTGAATACTTTCAAACCCCAATTTGGTGCCCTTGTTGTGTAGCAATCATCACCAAATTTGATATAAAATTTCTTTATAGTATACATCTACATAATGAAAATTTTTGAGGCAGGTTGTTAATAAAACCATAGATAATCACAACCTTAAAGTTCTGTGATCTCGTGTCTAGAAAATTGTCATTCGTATTGATTGCGAACAAATAATTACTTTTTACAAGTAATTACTATACATGGGATGGTAATTGCCTAATTACTGTAAATACGTAATACATAATTATCGTAATTAATTACCACTTTATCTCTTTAAAAACGTAATTACGAAATTAATTGCGTATTACGGGTGACGAAACTAATTACAACAACGAATTAATTATTGGAAATATCATAATACAAAGTCACTCCCGTTATAACGACACTCTCCGTACAAACAAAAAATATCAGTATAACGAGAATGTCATTATAACGGGAGGTCATATGAGAATCATTATCATGTGATTTTATAACTATATATATATTTTTTTATTTAATTCATGTTTATATGTTGTATTAATTATTCTATCAGGAAATTAAAACTTACTTCGGGTCAAAATTGACCAGCATTATACGGAAAGGTTAGAATTTTACATGATGTATTAATATTAAAAAAATAAAATTTTTTTTTGATCTTCAAATGTTACACACAAAAAGAGAATTTCCGCCATGCTAATTTCTATATACATGATGAATTTTTTTAAAAAAAAATAACTTCGATTTATAGACATGGAAAATATTAAAGGGAATAATAATAACAATTGTAACAATAATAATAATAACAATGATTCAAATAGCCTAGGCCTTACTGAGAATAGTACACAATCTTCACCAAGACAACCTTATGCTACTAACAGCACCTTCACAGCCACATCACCTATTACACCACGCCGTTTCTCTTCATCTACTACACGTAGTTTTGATACGAGCGATTACTTTTCTACTTTTCCAATGAATCAACGTGTGATGTCTTCAACAATGTCCTTACATGGTGGTGGTAGTGGTGGTAGTGGCAACGGTAGAAACCATAATACTAGAAATCTTGCCCGAAGAATTTCTATAAATTCATCAACATCTTACATTAGTACAATGTCTGAGACTTCTTTACCTTGGACTACCAAGGTATATACATAAATTATTTTAATTATTTGTTAATAGTTAGGAAGTTAATAATTGCATGTGTATATATATATAATATTATATTCATTTTTTTTTCGATAAAATAAAAAATTATATAACAAAAAGGATATCGGTTTTAATGGTATTATAATTATTATCATCATATATAAATTATCAGAGAAATTTTTTTTCTTTTAATTGATTATATTAATTATATTATATACATATCACATTATTATTCATCATATATTATTATTTCTTTCTTTAATATTTTTGTAAATTTTAGCAATATCTGGGATTTTAAATAATCCTAATTCAAAATCTTCAAATTACGTAAAACCTTCAAAAAATGATATCCCATCAGTTCCCCATACTCCAATAAAAAAGGTAAAACCTGTTGATTTCAATAATTATTTGAAACAGATGACCCCTTTGTTCAAGAAATATAGCCAAAATAAAGAAATCGGAACAGATGGTTTGATCCTATTAAGAAAATCACCAACAACACCAATTACCACACCAACAACATCTGATAATCCAATTGATCAAAGTAATGATAATAATAATAATAATAATAATAATAGTAAAAATAATAATGGTGATGACGATGATGATGATACGGCTAATGAAATTTATGTCCATAGACTAGAGAGTTCTCGTAATCCTTATTCTTTACATTTGCCATTACCAACTCCAACCACTTTCATTACACCAACGCTAACAAGTCCTATTGTTGATCAACGATTGCTTGAATCTAATATTGAACTTCCTTTACTTGAAACTGTACCTTCAATATTCTTTGATCCTAATTTTAACTTGGAAAATCCAAGAACATTTGATGCTGTATGTGAACAAACGGACATCATCAAAGGAAATCCCAATGACCCTTCAATATCAACAAATGCAATTCTGCAAGAAAAATTGTCTCATTATCTTGATACTGTAGAGGTTCATCTTACAAAAGAAATATCTTTAAGATCTTCTTCATTTTTTGCTGCTTTATCAAACCTTCAGGCATTACATTCTGAAACCTTAGAATGTGTTACCCAGATTCATAAATTAAGAGAAGAGTTGGCTAGAATAGATGACACCAAAGCCAAAAAAGGTCTTGAAATTGTTAGATTAAAAAGACGTAAAGCAAATACGGGCAGACTTTATGAAGGGATTAAAATGGTTGCAGAAATCAGATCTATTCAACCAATGATACAAGAATTATTAGGACAGGGTGATTATTTTTCAGCATTAGATTTAATTGACGAAGCAAATAGCTTATTACATGGTGGTAATGTTGGCAGCAATTCTGGTTATAATGGGAACGAGAAAAATATTAATTTACAATTTAATAATAATAATGGGTTAAAGACTCAGCTTACTTCTGGTATTAATAATAGACCAATAACTATTTCAAGACTGAGTAATGTGGCAAATGATATTAAAAAATCAGGTGTAATTGATTTAAGAGGAGTCAAAGCTTTAATGCATTTTAATGGTCAACTTACTAAAGTGTATAAAACTATTGGAGTAATGATGGAAAATGATTTAATAAATATGTTATTTCTTGATTTTGAAGAACATGTAGACAATGTGGATAAAAGTGTAATAATAAACTCGCTATACAATTTTACTATTCCTCTACCAACTATTAAAAAATCAAATATACAACAGACATTCCTTTTTAATATTGACGATAAAAATCTCGAAAAAGAAGATAAATTAAAACAAAGAATATCACCATTTATCCTAGGATTATATAAAATGAATTCACTTACTCACGCTTTACAATCATATCGTGAAAGAATGTTGGATGAAATAAAGAAAATAAGTCAAATACAAATGGTAATTCATTATTATCGTTGTTGCTTGATTCAAAAAGCTTTATTAACTATATGCATTTATATTCTAGCATAATTCTTCATTAACAGCAATACTTGCCGATTCTAAAGAAGATCATTTAAACGAATCTCACTCTGAACAAAAGTATAAACATTTCCATCTATAACATTCTTTTTAAATTGATTCAAACATTGACTGTTTAATTTTTTAAAAAAAAAAATGGTTCTAGACTTGCCAAGGTATTAAAAGGAATGTCATTTGATACATTTGTTGACATGCTTTTATCCATTTATGCAGTTCTACTCGAAGGAATGAGGCGAATCACAATTTATAACGAAATATTTAATAATATACTGAATGAAGCACAGAATTCAGGTGTTGAAATTCAAAAAAGTGTTGTTGAAGAAGAAGAAAAAAAAGTAAGCATAGAGGAAATAGATGTGGTAGAAGAGAGTGAAGGAAATTCTTCGGATTATAGTAATGTTACACAGTTGATGGAAGAAGTTGAACAATCTGATAAAGAAATAGAAAAATCAAAAAATGAAACCAATGTTTTAAGCAATTCAAGATTTTCAAAAGCACTCAGAATCACAACTGGCATTAAGTCTATGATACAAAAAAGAACTTCGTCATTAACAGGTAAACCTGTTCCTGAGTTAAATACTAAAGAATTAGTTGACAATACACCAGATACTGGATCACAAAAACTAAAAGCAGAATCTGATAATAGTAAGAGTACTAGTAATAACAGTAGTGGTGGTAGCAACATCAACAACAACAATAATAGTCAACATTCACAATTATTATCTGATTCCGTACAAATTGTTTATGCAACAGCAGATTTGGCTCATGTGCGATGTGCTAGTATGATAGCAATTCGTGCAGACCAAAATGCTCAACTAAATCAAAAAGACTTTTATCGATTGTTTAATGTGACGTGGGCATTTGTTTTAGAATGTGAAAATTTATGTGGTAGAATGTGTTATGGACTTCGTGGAACAATTATGTCACAAGTATGATTGATATCTATATATTATATATATTTATTATATGTAAATAACCTTAATTATAACTTAATAACAAAAATATTTTTTGTGCCTGTATATTTGCAGGCTAAAGCATTTTTAAATCATTTTCACATGGAAAAGACAAAACAAGAGAATACATTAGTTGAAAATGAACAATGGGTTCAAGCTGAAGTGCCTATCGATTTCCAACGTATCGTGGATAGTATAGTGTCAGCATCTGTATCAGGATTGTCATGTTTTAGAGATGATCCGTCAGAACCTTTATCATCACCTTCGCTACACTCATATTCTTCTCGTGCTCCATCACAAAATGATAGCAGTAATCGACATATTTTTGTTGAAGAACGAAAATTTTTTGTGGTTGGCTGTAGTTTATTACTGATTAAAATGCTTGGTGATTATTTAAAGTGCATAGTTAATATACCTGCATTAACAACTGAGACAATGAATCGTATAATTGATCTATTGAATGTGAGTCTTGAATATACATATATATATAATGTCATTATATTATAATGCTTTGATTAATTCTATAATGTTCTGTTTGTTTAGACATTTAATTCTCGAACATGTCAAATGATTTTAGGTGCTGGAGCTAGGTTATCTGCTGGTTTAAAAAATATTACAGCTAAACATTTAGGTAAATTGTTTATCTAATATTTATATATTTATCAAGTATACAGTATATTTTTAAAATTTTAAATTAAAAAAACCCCCAACTGTAGCACTTGCATCACAATCGCTGGGTGTGATGATTGCATTAGTACCATTTATACGTGAATGTATAAGACATAATCTTGTTGTTAAACAATTTGTAATGTTGACAGAATTTGATCGAATCAAAAATGTATGTGGATTTTTTGAATTGGAGAATTAATCTGTTTCAAATGTTTTTTGTTCTTATCTTTCATATTAATAATTAATGAAAACACGATTTATATTAAATATAGGATTATGTTAATCATCAAAATGAGATACATGCAAAATTGGTTTCTATTATGAATGAAAGATTAATTCATCATCTTCGAACTTTCCAGGTAATGTTGTTATTATTTCAACATTGATCAATTTATGTATATAATAGATTAATTATTATAATATTAATTAAAAAATTTTTCTCCTAAAAAAAGTCATTGAATTGGGATGAACTACAAAACAAAGAAGGTCCTAATTCTTATATAGAATCATTAATAAAAGAAACATCCACATTACATAAAGTTTTAAACAAGTATCTTCCGCCTGAAACATTACAAGTAATTATCATTACCATTATTAATATTTGACTTGTTGGTAAAATAATTAACAAACCATTATCATCATTATTTTTTATGTATGTGTATAGAATGTGATGACTCAAATTTTCAAATCTTCAATGTCAAAAATTGCAGAGGAAATTGGCAAATTGAATATTAATACATCTGATGGGAAGAAGAGGTTGATAGTGGATATACAACATTATGTAGGAAAATTGTCAACTTTGGAAGGACATAGAGAGCCAATTACAATGAGTGAAGAATTGGAAAAGGCAATTGAAAGTTTAGAAGTTAAAGAAAATGATAGTTTTAATAATAATGCAAATAGTAATAATGCAAACAGTAATAATGATAATGTTGATACTACTGATTCACAATCAAAATGAAGTTACTTTTCTTATTAATTCTACTGTATACTTATTTATTTATTTATTTATTTACTTATTTTGTAATATTAATAATAATGTTAATGCAATAATTTAATATACGATGTATAGATAGATAGACACTATCCTAGCTATCCTAGTACTAGTTAGATCATTATATAAATAAAAGATAAAAATTTATACTATAACAAGCTTATAACTGAGAGCTTTTGCTTTTCATGTTACAAAACACACATACCGTGCTGCGCGAGAATAAAGATTTAATCAAGTTGTCTTCGTCGCAAAGAGCAAAAAAATGACATCACTCGGGCCAAGACAATAATCTATTTTATTAAATTCGAGAAATTCCTCTAGGCCATTTCAGCGTACGGAACTCAACCTTCTACATTTGGCCACATGAAATAATTGTTCGTTATTATACAACATGTAACATAAAATTTTAACCCACGCAATTGTTGATTGATTGACCAATTAAAATCGTGAATTTAAAAATAAAACATTTAATGT